GGCTCCGAGGCCCTCGGCCTCCCGGCCTCCCTCCCGGAGGAGGATGGCCTTGGCTGCCGTGCTGCACCCACCGCTGGAGAGGAGCCCGCGGGGGCCCCCGGCAGCACCCCACGGACCACGGGCATCCCACAGACCACAGATGCTCTGCGGACCACAGGCGTCCTCCGGACCACGGGTGCCCCATGGACCACGGGCATCCCCCAGACCCTGGGCATCCCCGTCGGGGCAACGCCACCGGCCCCCACGGCAGCAGGGTCGGCACCTGGCCCCGAGCACAGCACCGACGGCCCCAGGCTGCTCCTCTACTACATCCTGGGCAGCCTGGTAGCCATCCTGCTGCTGCTGGCCTTCGCCCTGGCCCTGCTGGCCTGCAAGAAAAGGGCGGCCAAACGGGAGAAGCGGCCGGCCAAAAGCGCGGCAGACAACTATTGCTGGGTGCCCGAGCAGCCGGAGAGCCACGGGGCGGGCGGCGAGCGCAGGTAACGGCGCCCGGGGCAGCGGGGGGACGCAGAGCTGCAGCGGCAGAGAGCGTTTTTGCAAATTAAAAAGAAAAAAATAAAAGGGAGGGGGGTGATGCTATCTGTTCAACACAGTTTTGCATGTCTGAGAGCCTGTCCTGGGGTGCTTTGCAAAGCGGGAGCTGATCTCCCCCCCAAAAGGCAGGTCTCGGCGCTGGGGGGGAAGGCAGCCCAAAGGAGCCCTGCGGTTTATAAACCAGCCACCGCTCCTCCGAGGGAAGGGTTAACGGGGACGGTGCGGCGAGAGGGAATGGGGTCCAGTTTGCCTGCCAGGGCTGCACCTCAACTCCGCAGAACCTCACTGCGCTTAAAAATAGCAAACGATAAGCATCGATTTGTCTTCCTAAAGAAAATGGCTCCTTTCGTTTTTCATTTGGTCTCCCCTACCTGTATTCGACACGCCGACATGCAAAAGCAGCAGCTTGCCCGCCCCGTCCCCGCAGCCCCCCCGGGCCTTTGCCATCCCCTTTTTTTTTACCCTCGTCAAAGAGACACCCGCCCCCCGGGCCCGCTTGGCCGCAGACCGCCCGCGTCCAACCCTTGGCTCGCCTTGTCCTCTTTGCAATGGGTTTGAAATGCTTATGTGTCTCAGCAGGGCAAGAACTGGTCTCTGCAGCCACGAGCAGGGGGGTGGTGTTAGTGTTTTTCTTTTTTTTTTTTTTTAAAAAAAAAAGATGCCACATCCGAGGGAACCGAATAAACCTTTTTAAAACTACAGCAGCAGAGAGCTTCTCTGCAGGGAATATATGGTGAAAAAGGTATGAAAAACTGTTTAGAAGAACCACCCACCTGTTTCCAGTGCATTCAGTTTAAAACCACTTGCAAAATACAGAAAACAATGTTCTCCTTCACGTGCAGCCGGATGAGACCGGACTTCCCCTGTTGGATCATACTTTTTGGGTAGGACCCTTTCCCGACTGCTTGGGGTCCAGGCTGAGCGCATTTGCAATTCCTCCCCCTATAAAGAATACACTGGATGTTGTATATTTGCTAATTGTTATCTATCAAACTTTTAACCCTGCTTCAAAGCAAATGCTTTCTCAGGGCGAAGCTGTTCCCAGGTACCTAACTTCAGAGAGCTGTTCACACTCCGCCGCTCCCGACAACGACGCCTCTTCGAGCTGTTTCAGCCTGAATCCCCCCAAAGCAGAGGGGCCCAGGGGCCATCCCTGCTTCCCATCCAGCAGTGCTAACTTCACTATTTACCCGTGCTCTACAAGGCAAAAAGCTGCTCGAAAAGGACAGGCGTGTGATTTGAAGGGTACACAAGTTTCCTGAAGTTTCTGCTGGTTTTATTGTCTACTTGAGGCTTAATTGCTACAGAAATGGGAACTGAACACAAAGGAGTTTGCTGTAGGCAGCGACCTGCATCCTGTTCTTCCATGTGCAGAGGATAACCCTTTCCTGCCGTTTTGTTCGTCTTCATTTCTCCATTGTAAAATTAAAAAAAACAAACCAAACCCAACAACACGGGAAAATGTAGCTGACAGAAATGGTTTTAATGTCCATGCTTCCTTTTCTCCGGACAGCGGCTGGGAGAAGCAGGGAATGCAGCAGCGGCATTCTTGGAAGTCCCGCAGAAAATTTATACCCTGTCTGTGCAATGACAACAAGCCAGCAGAGCATTTCGAATACATGAATAAATTAAGCAAACGAATAATCCTACCGAAATCAGTGGGACAACCTACATACATAAAATTACGCCTGTGCTGTCGGGCTATGCCGACTCAGGGCCCCTACGGGGAAAAGGCAGTCGCAGCGATGTGCCTCGCTTTGCAGGGACTACTTGGTTTGCTTTATCAAAAGCTGAAGCATTTTCCAGCCGCTAACAGTCTCGGGAGTGTTTCTGCCTGCTTTTCCAGTTAAGATATCAATTAATTGTTGTATATAACGCTTACTCCCCTATGAAAAAGGGAAAAGGAAGCATAAGTGTGAGCTCAGAGCTGGTACAAATCTGAGAGGTGTTATTTATTCCACAAATTCCTCAGTAAAACCTATAATCCTGATTTCTGTTACAACTTTCACCTATTCCGGTATGTGTACTGTATTACCAATGGAGTATGGTAGCGGGTCCAGCCTAGGGAAGCCACCAGTTTGTGCCTAGGTTTAGTCTGGGTTCTCTCTGGTGGAATATCTCCTGATGTAGCATCCTCCACCCTGGTGCGATTACACCTGAATAATCTCATGTCTCCCTTTCTTCCTGCAACAAAATCCTGCGGGAACGTTTAGATCCATGTCCTCGTTAGGGAATTACCCGGGGCCCAGTGAATCCCGTGGGCTAAAAAGAATAGGAGCGGGACCAGCCAGTTCGGTACCCAGTGTACAGTCAGAAGAGACGGGATGTTCACCCCGGCCCAGGCGGGTTTTACTGCGGTGCCCGGGGCAGCTACCTCCGCTCCCCGTTCCTTCCGTTTCAATCCGGTGCCATTATAAGCAAGACCTATAGCTGTCCTGCTGCCACCGCGGCAGGCCGGGCTAGCCGACGCGCCTGAAATGCTTTGTACGTATCAACTGGTTGTAACGAACTAAGTGTTGTATTTTTGCGGTCCCGAATTAAGACACGCCTCATCCTTCGCCGAAATGGCACGTCAGGACTGAATTTCGTCACCCGCACGGTGACGGCACAGCACCACAGCCTTGCAGTTGCCTTCGGCTAAAAGACTGGGGTTACCCCACACGTTGAATAACACCGTACGTTGCTTTTCTGATGAAACACCAATAAAATCTCAACATAATGGGTCTTTAGTGGTTTTCAATAAATATATACGATATCGAAACCTATTGATTTGGTACACGCAATCCTTGCATTTCTTACAGTGGTGGACGGTGCTAACAACTCCTCTGTCAGCGCTCGTCCCGCGTGTAGCGAAGTCAGCGGGGTCTCAGCCTTTCATAGGCACCGCTGTCCTGAGCGAGGGCCATTCGCTCCACGTGGACCAAGGCCACGGGGTGGGAGCACTGGGATGATCTCGGTTGGGTCCTGAGCCCACCAGCAAGGTCCTGAGCCCACCAGCAATCCTGCCGATTTCAGCGTAGCTCTGTACGAGGGCAGGGATCTGCTTTTCTGGCTCTGGTCAGCAACCAGGCACCGAAATCACTCGATGAATTCAAACCACAGGATTGCCGGTGGCTGGAGCTGCCGCCACAACGTGCGCCACCAAAGAAAGGCCATCCTTAAACGGGAAAAGGTCACAAAGACGGGGAAAAACAACACAAAAGCCCACTCGTATCGCCCATGTCTGCAATGGCATTCATGTGGTGCCTCATCAGCCATTGGCATTTGCCTTAAATAGTGTTTAAAAACAAGAAAACCCCCAAATAAAAGAGGACACTACATCTCATGATAGAGGTTCCGTGCCTCCACGCATCAAACTACAAAGAGCATTCCCAGAGTTGTTCCCCCTGCCCCGGGAAGCGCCCACAAGGAGAAGGCCCCGGCCACGCCAAACCTGCCGGCACAGCCCGTGCAGGGAGCAGGGGGGTCCCTGCCGAGCGCAAGGAGCTGCCAAGGGTGGGACGATGGCTTTATTTTAGCAGGAACATCGCTCCCAGCCGGAGCGTGGCGAGAGGCCATGCCATTACCCGTCACCCTGTTGATTTTGCCCTGCTGAGGCTGGGGCACGTCGGGTGGCGTTGCCCCTGCACGAGCCTCGCGCCGAACCCGATAAACCGAAGCGAAGGAGCGCAACGTAGCAATTCAGCCACCCCCCGGGATATAATTTTTCCCCATTTCTGGGAAAGGTTCTGCCAGGAAACAGCCTCCAGCAGAAGAATTTGGAGAAAAGGTACTGACTAATGTTAAAATATTATCTACAAAATACCACGCTCCTTCCTTCAAATCCCACAAAGAGTCAGCCACTGCAAAAACAAATGCTTTAAATGTCTGCTCATTTCTTCTTTTTATTATTTTTATCTTTTAAATATCTCTTGGCATTTGGCTCTCCCGAGCCCTTTCAAGGCTGCTAAGCGCGGTTCGCATCTGGCCAAGCGGATCTGAGCATCGCGGCAGAGGGACGATCCAGCGGCTTTCCTAAAGGAAAACCCAGCACGTGCCCCGAGCTGCTGGGCCGGTGTGGGTGTTGGAGACGTTGCAAGGCTCAACAGAAAGCTCACGGAGAAGGATAAGAGTCTAATGCCCCGAAATAAGCAAAACTTCCAATATTTCCCGTGCTGGGGTCCTGACGAGGTTTGTCTGCGCTCTCCATCCCCTGTGAATCGAGCCGTACGTAAGGCATCGCTTACGGACGATACCGATTCATTTGGCTATGCTGGCCTGGGGCAGGGGGCCAGGACGGTGTCAAGGCAGGTGAAGGGGATGGTAGGAGGAGAAGGCACGCGCTTCCCATGCCAGATAACACGAACACCCAGCCTCGGGAGGCTTTAATCCCTGTGGGAAACGGCACTGGCTGCTTTCCCTAGGTGTAGTCTAAGAATTAACATAAACCTATGAGCCAGAGGGAAAAAAAGCACCAGGCCTGCTTGCAGGACCTAGCTCAGCCCTAGCACTACTCACAAATTGCATTGTCTGCACCCGGACTGAAAACAGCAGCTCTAACAGACCACAGAGATGCAAGGGCATAGAGAAAAACCTATTTTCCCAGTTCTAACAAGGAAAAAAAAAAGGCTCACTCACCACTTGGCATGACCTCCCCAGCCCTGCCTTCTCCAAAGCCATTGCAAACAACCCCCCTGCAGGCAAAGCCGCCCGGAGGAGCGCTCCTAATTGCTGTGCGGCCAATTCAGCCCCTGAGCGCAGCCGTGGGCACTTTGCCCGGGTGCCGGCCCCGGCAGCGAGTCTTATTTTTCGACGCCTTTATTTGTCTGGCACTTCCTAACCTTGAGCTATTTCTCTCCTTGCGTCTGATCCAGCGCAGGGAAATTCACCTTTTCTGCAAGGGATTCCCGCCCCGGACCTGCGGGAACAGGGCTCGGCAGCGGCCGGCCGACACCACGAGACCCCAGGCGGATCGCCCGAATCGGGGAGAAGGGACCCCTGGGCAGCTTTAATGATCCCAAGTGGGATCGCATGCGGGCGTAAATGGGAAAGCACGTATATGCTACTTAATTGTCTGCTTTTAATTTTTTTTTTTTAATCCTGACATAATTTAATATGGCTTTATTATATTATATTGCAGTATATTGTTACATTATATTAACTTGTGTATAACTGTCATCATTCTGACATGAGGAACCTCATTCCCAAAATTCCACTAACAAGCACAGAAAATCCGTGACACATAGCCCCCTAACCGCAGGTCGCAAGAGCTATTCAAACATGCCTCCGGCCGGAGGGTGACGGTGACATTTCGGATGAGTCAGACCCGAGCAAAGCACAAGGTCTCCCTCCTGCTATCGCGGCGGGCAGCCGGCGATGTCTTGCAATAGCTTTGCATCGCGGAGGGGCGTGATTAATCGACTTTTATAAAGGCAAAGCGGTATGTCAGCTTTTTTTTCAGCAGGAAGGGCATTTCTGGCCCTGTGAGTCAGCCAACGCCTGTCACGCTTGGAGGCAAGAGGGAAAAGATCATCGGAATAAAAAAAGAGTTATTAAAACATGATGAATCTTGTTTCTCCCGCCCTGATTATCTTGCCCTTCTACTGGCAAGATCAACCCTGCAGGCTGTTGTCGGCGGGGCAAGGACATCAGCGTGATGATCTGAGAAATCATTGTTTTGGGAGTGCTCTATTTTTTTCCTGGAAATTTTCAAAATATTTCTCATCATGCAGCCTTGAAAAGGAAATTTTTATCTGTTGTTATAATTTCTTAAAAAAAGAGAGAACAGAAATCTATTGGTATTTTTTTATTTTCCACTGATTACATTCTGTATTCTTCCTTTTTCCGTTGTTTGCCCTGACCTTCCCCCCTTATTTTGCTGTTTTGCTTCTGAAAACAGAAAAAGATAAAGAAACAGAAAAAGAAAAACAGGAAAAGAAAAAAAGAAAAAACAAAAAAGAGAAAAAGACCACCAGAAGTGAAAGAAATGAAATGAAAACTGGGGAAACAACAGGTTTTACTAAAGCAAAGAAAGATCGGCGGTACCAAGCCCCCAGGAAACTTTGGGGAATTACCCTATTTACAGGTTTTGTGGCGATGAAGAGCAACTGAGCTCTTCTCGGGTGAACTATTTCATCCAGGGAGGGACTGGCAGTGGCCAGAAGGCCATTGCAAGCTCGCCCATATACGCACTGGTTTGTGCCTCCTTCCCAGGGGTGAGCGGACCGGCGGATCAGACCTCCGGGACACGTGTCGCCCGGGAGGAGCTGAGCTTTGGGCTCAGCTTTGGGCTGAGATCAGGGCACCCTGGCCTGAGCCCAGCCCTTGCCCTGGGCTTCGTTACTGGAGAAAACGAAGCTGCCCCGCGCCGTGCCCCAGCCTGCCTTTCTCCTTGGGGTACAGCCCTCCTGATGACATTAAAGCCCACATTCATTTTCCGCGCAGGAGACAGATTTGAACGCTCTGCAGGCCAAAGTCTGAGCTCTCCCTTGCTCCTCCTGCAGTCTGAGCAGAAAATGGCATTGCCTGGACATTCCCCTTCCCAGAGAGGCCATGGATGAAGGTGCGAAAGAGGCCGAAGACAGGCAGGGGCAGAGGCATCCGATAAAGAGCCCGAGCTCCTCTGCTCCCGTCTCCGTCAGCCTAGCTTTGCAGCTACCAAACAGCACAGCTTGCTTGGTGATGTTTGTTACGATTATTATTATCACTACTACTATTATTAAGGATTACTATTACTCTTTTCCCCATCTTGCCTTTTCGACGCAGCCCACAGCCTCGCGTGAGCTACCCGAACCACACAGGGCTGGAAGAGGACAAGACAAACCGTAAGAGTTTAATAAAGTAACCTCCTTGCAATGAGTGCAGCAAGGAAATATGGATTTGCTTCTCTGCAGGGGATCCCGAGGGCTAATTGCAGTGACTGAGTCTTCTGGCAAAAACACCGCTCTCAAAATTTCAAAATTGAAAAAAAAAAAAAAAAAAAGGGTCAAACACCCTTTCCTTTGAGCGGCGAAGCTTTGGATATTTGGTTTTCATTTTTATTTTGCTCTTGGCTATGTTCTGACAGGAGAGGTGGATCCCGCAAAGACAAAACCACGGCAGGGGTACGGCTGCTCAGGAAAGAGCAGCAGAGGCGCCGGCGAGGAAGCGGGGCCGGCGCCCCGGGGCCGAGACCCCCGGCTGGGCAGGAGCCGCGGGGCTGGGGCCCCTCTCCTTCCCGGAGCTCGGCCCCAGCTCGCGCAGCGCGGGAGCCAGGATGCCGTCCCGACGCGGGGCACGGCGCGCTGCCAGCTTCTCCACGCCCATTTTCTCTCATTTCAAGAGTGAGGCCGTGCCAGCTCTGTTTGTAACTGGGGGCTGATTTGCAAAGCCCCGGGGGAAATCCCACTTATTCCTGGCGTCCCATCGTAGCTCAAATCCTCTGGAACTGCTTTGCTGGGCTTCAAATTGTAAGGCACACGGAGACGGTGGTCCGTCGCTGTTAACACCGCATCCTTCGAGCACAGGGAAGGGCTCTCCCAAGTCCCCCGCTGCGATAGCAAAAGTCAGTAAATCCCTGGGGACATCTCGGAATGGCTTTCCTCTTTGAAAAACCCACAAGTTTTTTTCTTTACAGTCTGACGTTGTCCTGGCAGGGCTGGCCGCCTGACCCCCGCCTTCGCTCTAGCGCATCTGTAATGCACAGACGAGCCCTGGGAGCTGCCATCACTCCAGGTCTGCGGTCCAGAGCGGCAGAGATGCCTGAGCAGTGGGCACTTCTTCCCTGCCCACTGCAGCCTCCCAGCCGCATGCCAGCAGTAAATGTGTCCCTGCGCCCTGCCACCATCCCTCGGGGACCCCGCCTCACCCCCGGAGAAGAGCAAGTGATGGGCAGAGGCCAAGGGGCGGGTGGGGAGGGACGGCCACCAGCCCTGTGGCCCCTGATCCTGGCTGCCTCGAAGGTACTGAGGTATCTGGGGGTCCCGCAGCCGCGCCGCAAGCCCGCGCTGG